CTGACTGCTAGATGTGTCCACTTGTAGGTCTAACAAATGTCTTGAAGTTAACAAGTCCAAACTGAGCTTTCAACACCTCACCCAGCTTCAGACCTCTTGTTTCCCTGGCTGAGCTGACAACACCACTGATACAGCTGCGCAAGCCAAAGTCTTGGGAATTACCCCAACGCTTTGCACATGCTCCTCTGCCCCTGTGCATGTCTGGCCATCAGCAAGTTCTGAGGCATCACTATTTCTCATAAATCCATTCTTGATACACCTGGTCTACTGTGACCACACTCGGCTAGGTTCATCACCATCCCCCACCTGGATCATTATAAGGCTGATGTCAGTGATCCCCTCGCTTCCTCCCTTGCACCCCCACTCGTCCATGCATCCTCAAAGGTAAGCATAACTTGAGCACATCTCTTCTTTCCTAAATCTTCAGAGTCTCTCTAGGTCATCCAGAGAAGCAGCCTAGGTCATTACCATGGCCCTTGAGGTGCTCACATGATCTTTTTTAAAACATGTACTTAGTACAGTGTTTAGAGGGTCTCACTACACAGATAGGACTTGTAGTGATTCTCCTGTGTTCAGCCTCCCAAGTGCTGGGATTACAGGCATGCATCACCACACCTAGAATCATCTTTTTTTTTTTTTTTCTGGTACTGGCTATTGAACTCAGTACTTTGCATTTGCCAGTCAGGCGCTTATTCTACTGAGCTATCTCCCCGGCCCTAACATACATGATTTTCCTCCCCATGACTCTCCTTCCCTCAGCCCCCTCCACCCTCATCTGCTCTGTTCACACTGCGTTGGTCATGCTAGGCCCTTTGCTTTTCCTCAAGTGCTCCTGGCCTGTTGTTACTCAGGGCTTCGCACATGCCAACACCTCTGTGCAGAGCAGCCTCACAGATATGGCTTGTTTCTATATTCACAGCACCTTCACAATAGCCTTCCCTCTTTACCCTTTGTAAAATTGCCACACCTCTCTTGAATGCATGTGTGCTTTATTTCCTCCATCAACACTTATCCTTAGTATATTTCTGTCTCTTTATCTACATGTTTATTACTTGTGTCTCTTCTCATATCTCCCATAGGAATGCTAGCTTCAGGGATTTTTGTGGGTAGGAGCATATTTCACTGTTTTCCGTGTACCTAAAACAGTGTTTACCATAACAAGTGTCATAAGTATTTATTGAATAGATAGGCAAATAATTCCTTTAAGAAGAGTATCAAAGGGCTGGCCAGATAGCTTGGCAGACCAAAGATCCTGTTTAGGCATAGCACAGGGTCCAGGGTTTGAGCCCCATCACTACAAGCCATGCTGGCCCCACTCCTGAGTTGCACTGAGACAGTGACTAAGACTGGGTGTGATGACATGCACCTGTAATCCCAGAGTTTGGGAGGCTGAAAACAGGAGGATCACTATGAGTCTGATCTATGTAGTGAGACCCTGTAGACCCTGTACTAAATACATTAAAAAATAATAAGAAAAAGAAGAGTATCAGAAAGGGACTTAAAGTGCCTGGAGTAGATTATGGAGGAGCAAAAGTCAAAGGTGGAAGTGAGAAGAACATGTATATGTGGACACAGCAATAACTTCATAACCTCTGCTAAGTGAGGGCCAGCTGAGGCTACAGGGAGAATGTGGACAGTGCCAAAGAGTGAAAGGAGGAGAAACCAAGATCACAGCTGCACTACTGAGGCAGGGCGTTTCCTCCACAGCAGCAAGGGGATGAGAGCACATGGATGCGGAAGTGGACCAGGTAGCCGACTCACAGGAAGTGAAGTCTCTGTTGGGAATTTGTGGGAGGCAGGAGTCAGCAAAGGCACTGAGGGCTCTGGTAGCAGCCTACCCCAATAATTTCATCAAACTCCATTGATAGGGACAATCATTGTACTCTTCTGAGAAGTACTGAGCTTTGGCCATCCTTGAGTCCAAACAGTCCCCAGGAGCCTTGCTCACTTTACAGCTGGCAGGGTGACAGACCACTGTAGGGTCTGACATCAGCTTACCTGCTCCCAGCCACCAGCTCTTCCAGAGCCTGTTTGAGCCACAGGTAGGCACCTGGCCCTGGCCTGCACTGCATCTTCTCTGCCTTCTGCAGTCCCTGGTGCTGAGCCTCCAGGAGAGGGTCAGAATCTTGCCCGCCCAACCCCTCCCTGACCCTGGAGACCCACCCACTCACCACAGCACCTCTAGTTCTGCCCTTCTTCTGCTCCACTGGACTCATGGCTCCATTTTTCTAGTCTCCCTGGGGTTCCACCCTGTGCAGTTCAGCTCTCAGTAGATCTACCCAGCTCCATCACCAGCCTCTTCCTCTGCTCTACAGTTTTCTCAGAGCTGTGCTTTGTCCATAGCCCTCTGTCTCTGTACCAACAAGGTGCTTGCTCCCTAGTGCTCTGTCCTGTTCTTGAGCTCTTTTCCAAGGTGGAGGTCACCCTCATACCTCATAGTCCTGCCTCTCTCTGTGGGCATCAGCTTTGCCTTCACCGACTTCTGGGCCACACAGGCACATGCAGGGACGCAGGGGCTAGCAGACATAATAAGACCTGGGACAGATGGAGAGGAGCAGATGCTTTAAGAACCTCTGGGGGCCTCCCAACACCCTCTTTCCAAACACCAGGAGCATTCATGCTGTGCAGTCCGCAGGTTCAGGCTGCTCCACCTCCTCCAGCCTGGCCACCTGTCTCTGACTTCCACTTCAGAGACCTCAGTTCTTTCCCCATCCCTGGGCCCTCTTAGCTGCTCCTCCCAGGGGCCTGCATAACCTATTCCCAGAACAGCAAGTCAGGAGGCCCCATGTTGAGAGTGAGAGCCCTCCCTCAGCCACCTCTGCCTGAACAGAAGCCAGAGCCCACTTCTTACAGGTGTATGGGGTTAACAGTCCCTTCCAGGGGCCTAAGGTCTAAAACAAGAGGGATGACCCTTAAACTTATGACCCTTAGGGGATAGGCCAAGCCACACACCAGTAACAATCTCAAAGTTGTGAGCCTAGCACTGTGGCCTTGAAGAACATGTAGAAAAGCAGAAAGTCTTCACAGGGCATTCTGGGGAAAAGAGACAGACTGGACTCTCCCAGCTCCCAGAGAGCAGACTGAACCATGTTTGGCCACAATAACCAGAGAAAGGCATAACCAAAGCCCAGCGGTCAACTGAGTCATCCTACCCCCTCTACCCTTTGCAGCCTGAGCCACTCTGATCAGTCAGTCTCCCTCCCCTAACTGTTGTACATCTGCACAGGGTACTCTTCACCCAGGTCCCAAAATTCACCCTACACCCCCGGGTGTTTAGTGCCTGGGAATAGGTTCCACTTTCCAGAGCTGAGAGGCTCCAGTTCCAGCTCCGGCCGAGGCAGCAACTCCTCCACTTCCATCTCCACAGTGCTAGAAATTCCAGGTCCATCTCTACTAGAGCTGGTGGTTCTGCACTGCTGTGGAAGCCCAGCTGAGATCTGACTCCACCTGGCTTTCTTCCTGTTTCCATGAGCTGGGGCAACCTAGACCCCTGTGTCACCTGGGGTGGCTCAGATTCAGTCTCCCTTCGAACACCTCCATGGACATAGCCACCCTAGTCTGCTGTGGAACCAAATACTGGAGACTCTGAAGTCCATCCCTGAGTCCCCACTTGAGGGAGAGCCATAAAGAGGCACCCAGGACAGGCCAAAGGTGGGGTTAAACCTCACTGTGAGGAACAAGAATGGGGCTTTGGAGGGCAGCCTGGGGTGGGTGGGCACTGGACTCCCCTGTGCTCCACACTCTTATCTCCTTTGAGTCCTTCGTTGGGGTCGGGACAGAGAGGGGTCCAGGTGCCCTGGCAGAGAAGTCTGTGACAACAGTTGCTTTTGACCCAGGCCATAGGAACAGAGTCAGGGCCCTGGAGGTGGAGCCTGGATGGGGGCCCTAGCAAAGGACAGAGTGAATGGGGAGGGTCACGCAGAGACCCCATATTTGGTAGAAGAGACAATCTGAGGGCTTGGGAAAGGACAGGGGTCAGAGGACACCAGATAGACGCACTGGAGAGTTGTAGCTAGGACCCGACTGTTGCACAGTGGTTGGGGCTCTTGTCTGGTTCAGTAGGGAGGAGTACCAGGGGTCAGGCTTCTGGAGAGGGCATCTCAGGTAAGCGTTGGGGACTTACAGAGTTCACTTTCGGGATCCTTGTAAGTGCAGATGAGTCTCAGTAAGGGGAGGGTTTGGTACCTGGCTGGTCAAAGATGATGCCCAGGTCCAGGAAGGTGCCTACCTGGGTGGCCATAACAGAGAGGTTCTGAGAATAGAAGTCCAGAAGTTTCTGCATTCTACTTTTCCTCTCTCCCTTCCTTCCCTCTGTCTCTCCCCTCCCTCCCTCCCTCCCTCTCTTCTTTTCTCTTTCTGTGTAGGAGACTGAGCATAGGGCCTTTGCACTGAGCTACATCCTCAACCCCTTATTATTACTTATTTAAGAAGAATCTTATTAAACTTCTTAGGCTGGGCTTGAGGGATACAGAACTGCAGAGGTTAGAAAATAAGTATTACTTTTCCCTCCTTTCAGAAACTAGAATAAGTATTATTAACATACCCCTCTCCTATTAGGCTGTTGGATCTGGTTGTTAATATACTTTTGCAGATGAAGACAATAAAGTGTATTTAATTCTTGTGCAAGGAAAGTTCTGGGATTTCAAAGTAATGATTCACCAGATAATAACAAGTTTATAGAATTACTGATATAACCAAAGACTGTCAGGACAGTAGAATTCCTGAGAGCAGAGTTAATCTTTGTAAAGGATTACATTTGTACTTCAAGCCTCCTACCTTAAGAAATTCTACAAATGCAAGAGAACATAAACACATTTTTGTTAGCTGCCAGAACAATTATGTCATCATATGTCTTGGAGATTCCAGAAAATTCTACTGTAGCTTTGTGAAAGAGTGAGATATCTCATCATTATTATGAAAATAGTTTTGATTTTCTCAACCACTCGAATGAGGACCTCCTGAGAACTGTTGGGGTAGAAGACAACAACACAGTGGTCAGCCAGGGGTGTTTATTGATAGATCTCAAGAATCCACTTGGATCAGACTTCAGGCAGCTTCTGCATTTTCCTGGCTTCACACTTCAAAGCCTTCAAAATAACCATGATGGCTTTTGTTTTGGCTGGTACTTGGGCTTGACACAGCACATTTTACCATTTGTGCAATACACATAGACACTTTCCTTCTTGAAGCATCGATGGCGGCATTTCCCAAGAAGATTCCAGCATCTCTGGGCATCACCTGATTCAAAGGAGAAAGGAGAGAGACGTCAGTCTTAAAAAGAGTGAAGTTCTGGATTTAAAGAGATTAAAATAGATATGACAAGAGTTTCCCAGCTTCTTTCACCTTTTGACCCTTTGTGTCTATTATTATTTTTCCTTTAATGTGTTTTTGCTACCTATCTTGCCCTTGAATCTAAACTAACCAAGATATGTTCAAAAACTGCCCTGGAGAGAACTGTTCTGACAATCATCAGGGTCCGACTGCACCAAAAGACTACGAGACAAGAGGCAGGACAGATGGAAACAATGTCCAACCACTGCAAAAGACAGAATCAGCTACTAAGGCAAACCGGGCAACACTATTTTCTTTTTTAAAATTTTCTGCTAGTACTTTTTTAAAAAAAATTTTTGTTTATTTATTTATTTATTTATTTATTTATTTAGTGTGTGGCCAGCTCAGCCCACCAGGGGGTGGGGCTGGCTGGCATGTGGTGCTGGGGGATTGAACCTCAGTCCCTGTGCTTTGCCAAGCTTGTTCCAAGTAAGTGCTTTAGACCACTGAGCCATCTCACCAGCCCCCCCCCTTTCTTTTTTAAAGATAGTGTCTAGCTGTGTGGTTCAGGTTGGCCTTTGCTCCCTTTTTGTAACCCCTAGGCTGGTCTCAAACTCCCAGCGATCCTCCTGAGTGCTGGGATTGCAGGCCTTTGCCACCATGCCCAGTTCCTTGTTTTCCTCTTTTGAAAAGCAGGCTAACAGCATCTACTTCAGACATCTATTGTGTATATTAAATATAATCTATCAGCATTCCAATATTCACAAACAGCCAGACGTGGTAGGTGTGATCACACCTGTAATCCTAGCTACTGGGGAGTCTAAAACAGGAGAGCTGAGCTGGAGAACAGCCTGAGCCTCAAAACAACCAAAGCAAAAATAAAGGCTCAGGATTAGCTCAGTGACAGAACGTTTGCTTGGCACATTCAAGGCCCTGGGTTCAACCCCGAATACTGCAAAATAAACAAATGGAAAAAAACCCCAAAATTTTAGAAATGAAGTGACAAAAAATTATGATTGATAAAAAAGATATTTTCAGAAAAACATCTAATGTGGAAGAGACACAAAAACAAATAATCTCACCAAGTTATGTGTTAAGGGAAATAGACGATGACGAAAAGAAAAACGTGAAAACGGAATGAAATGGATCTTTTCCAGGCTGAGGTGAGCGACAGTGACCGTACTTACCCTCCCACTTCAAGCAGTAAGATAACTCAGGGAAATATGTGAAACACACTTTTCAAACACTGAGCAACATGCGCCGCAGACTGTAATCCTTGAGAGAAGGGAAACAACTAGGGGAGGCCCTAATGGGCCCTGTCCCTGCCTGGAAGTAGTTCTGGGTCATGGAGGAAGGAAAGGGCACCCCTAACAGTCTTATGAACAAAGGAGATGGAAACTAAGTGGAAAGAGAGCAACTTCCGATTTTTTTTGCGGAACCGGGGATTGAACTTTGCACTTGCCAGGGAAGCACTTATTCTACTGAGCTATCTCTCCGGCCCCTAGGGCAACTTGCTAGACGTTAGGCCTTCCACAGCGGGGGAGGGGCATGCTGTGGCAATCTCCAGATACCCTCTGCCTCTTTTCTTGTAGTGTTGGTGAGCAGACCCAGAACTTTCACTACAAGAAATGTTAAAGGAAGTCACTCAGGAAGAAGAAAAACAATACCAGATGGAAAACTGGATGTCCAAGAGCCAGCATGGATGCAATCAGCACTGATAAAGAGACTGGGGCATACGCAAACAACTTCTGTCCTGGCACAGAGACCCTCTCCCATGAAGGCGGCTGTGAGCTTTGCTCTTTTGCAAAGGGCGGCCGCTTCCCTCTCTGCTGGGCCTGTCTACCACTTCGCTCTTCCTTCACACACAGTCCACCTGCGCAGCTCCCTGGGGAGGAGGGAGGCCTGAGCCAGGAGCTCTGGGTGTCGCAGTTGGTCCCTAAGACCTGGCACCTGTTGCTGGCAAGTCGCGTTCTCCTATGGCTCCTCTCGGTGACCTCTTGCTGCCCCGTACCCCCGTCCTTGAGATTCCCTGACCAGGCCTCAGGGCGACCCCTGCCCTCCTTGAAGAGGCCCGGGATTTACCTGGGCGGAGGTGGGACACGAGCAGCAGCACCGCCAAGGACAGCACCAGGAGCTTCATGACTGGAGAGGGAGCCTGAAGCGGAGCTGCAAGCGGAAGCGATGGCGAAGCACGTGGGGTGTGCGGAGCGCCCGACAGTGGTCACCGCCCTGAGCAGGGGAGCACGCGTCGCGCCCACGTGTCCTCGGCTGCCCACGCCCACGCGGAAGCCGGGACTCCGGGCCGACCCGCCTCCCCTGGTCTTGTGGGTCTGCCAAGGCCCAAGGTCCAAGGCCGGAGACGCAAAGTCCTCCTCCGCAGCTTTCAACCGCCCTGGCCAAGGGAACACAAGGGGGCGCCACGAACCTAAAAGAAGGGGGCACGGAGTACAGAGAAGAATTAAATACCACAGCTACACAGGTCCGTGAGCCCACCGGCTCCCGGCAGAGAGGTGCAAAGAATCCATAGCCTTTGTCTTAAAGGCAACACAAAGAATCCATGAAAGAAAATCTACTTGCCTGGCCCTGTTTTGGTACTAAAACCTAAATTTCTACATCTAGAGAATCATATAGTATGATAGATACATAGATCCTTACTGTCCATTTGCTCCAAATTGTTGACTGAGGAGATTGGGACCCAGAAAAATGTAATTCTTCCAAGATCACATAGAAAGTCAGCAGCAGAGTCCAGGCTGGTCACTGAGTGTTTTCAATCCTGTCCC